GTCTAGTTCACGAACAAAATATGTCACCATTGGGATCACATTACTCTAACTAACTCCTGCCTTCACTGAAACCGTTACTCACTGTGTAATAAAATCGCCATTGGGTTAGTCAGTTTGAGTCGAAGGACATATGCTTGTTTCGTGCACAGCACTTTGGCTGTGTAATTTAGACTTATCTTGCAGTAATGGAGTGGAACCGAAAAAGACGAGGGAGACCGGAATGGCCAACTTTGGCTTACTAGTCGTCGTCGGCCAGTCATACCCAATCCCAGATGTAGATTCGGACCCGCGACACTTCGTTCGTGGAGTGCAACACTCTACCATTGAGCTACGTGTCCGTTTTGTCGGTTGCGACCGGGAATATGATGGTAGTTTGGAGCTCACCGATCTAGTTAAGGAAGATGCTTGTCCTATATCTTGAAGTAATTATGAGAAAAGCCATTACGCAAACGCAAATTTGCGATTACTGACGGACCAACTCCTATATGCTTGCGAAGGATGGTTTTGCAGAAATTCAAAAACATGCATAACCTTGATGTGCGTTCCCGAATCGATGAAGGCGTGCATATCGAAGGTTTCTGTTCATATTGTAAGAGTGCTTTTAGGTTTCCGGTGCAAGCAAGTTACCCCAAATCAACTAATCCGTAAACACTCCTGAGTCGGACCAGTTTTCATAACACTTTCTAATGATCCAGATGCACCGCCTATGTCGACGGTACTTGCATATACCAATTTTAGTTTAAATTGTGAAACGCCGCAAGATACTATGTATTATACCTGTACAACAGGCTCTCCAAACCCGGGGTTGAGTACGAATACCAACGGATAATAAAACAGGATCGACTAATCCACTCTTTTTTACCTATGCCGGGATTCTTAGTATGTACAGTTCATGCACTATCTCATCATATATTAACCAAAATGTTGAAATGTGCTTTCGGTTCGAACAGATTCTTTGAGTAGGTTCTGAAGTGTATGGAATCGGTTGATAGTTCAACTGAAATTTATAGTCAGTAGTATACCCATAATCGGGCTCTTAGTGACCTTTAAGGCTAAGACTTGGCCAATAGTATTACGCGCATATTTACCTTCCATCAGATATGGTCACCCCAAATTAACTTACGACTATAACACAACTGCACAACCTGCACAATTCCCATAGAAATATAATTCTGAAATGTTATTTTTTTAGGAAAATACGCAACTGACCGAACGATGATATTTAATTGTCTAATTTGTCATCAAAATTACTCACGAACTATGGTCGAGGGCTCCTTCCAGATATAAATTGATAAAGGCCTAGCGTCATGTGCCCATAGGGCGCTTGACAGCCACCCTAAGTCGTAGTTACGGTTTTGGAAAAGCGCAGAATGCAGAAACAACTTCCAATTTATCCTTTTTTTCTTCAGGTGATGGCATCGACAACTCCATAGGATCGGGAGAGAATATGGATGATTTCGACTCCGACGATAAAAGTAGCAAACGTCAGAAAAAGCGAGGCATCTTTCCGAAGGCTGCAACAAACACTATGCGAGCCTGGCTGTTTCAGCACTTAACGGTAAGTAATTTTGGATCTTTTTCACACCAATAGTTTATGTAAGCCAACATTCCACGACACTTTGGTGTAGCGATGTGGAATGATATTAGCCATTCCGACCTGCAAGGAAGCTACCTCTAGTATGCGCTCATAAACCATCACCCAATCGGACAAGATTTAATAACAGCATTTCCAGGTGATTCCGAATGCGTCTGATCGCCTTTATGACAATGACACATACGAGAGAGAGAGAGAGAGAGAGAGAGAGAG